ATAACATACTACACTGCTCGAAGGAAGAAAGACGGGTGGGTATTTTCCTCCGATAAAGATTTATAGTCTCAGAAAGCTGATGGAGTGAGTGTTGGCTATGACTCAGAACGGATTCAACACAGTGAGTTGGGTTTTTTGGGATTGTAGGTTTGGGGCTTTTGTGTTGTTTTTTTATTTTATTTTATCTGCTTGATGGGACAATTGAATGGGCAAAGGTAGACGTGAAAGAGCTTCATGAGGCCATAGTCCTTATAAATGGCTGGAATGAATGGAGTGAACAGAGTCTCCCTTGAACAGTAAGTGAGGAGGCTGCAGACAAAACCAGAGCCGGGAAGGCCTCACACGTCTCACTGAAAAGCTGGAGGAGAGGAGGGTGGTGGAGACTGAAAAGCACAAGCTAAAACCCCAAGGACAGTCCTTTGTTCCCTCTTGTGAGAAACACCCAGTCCCTCAGACCTTCAACTTTGCCTAGTATAGCTGGCTTGGATTTTTATATCATTTTCTTTTAAATGTTTACAACCTGTGGAACACCATGTAAGTCAGGCAAATCCTATCCAAAGGCCAGTGGCTTCCCAACTTTGCAGCCCATTAGCACACTTGATAGACCAGATGCACTTCACACCAGTGAAAATGTGGTGGGAGCCGTGCATCAGTGATTTCAATGTGCAGCAACATTTGGGAACCACTGCCAGAGGCTGAGTAAATCCTTCAGCTTACTACTCAACGCCATGGGGCGCTATGGGAGGTGTTAGGGCCAGAGAGGAGCCCACTGTGGAGCTTAAGGAAGTGTGTGGTCTGAGGTGGGAAGGAGTCCAAGCCTCAGGTGCTGCAGAAGGATCCTACTAGAGTAAACAGCCATTCCAGGTTTGAAGAGTTCCTCAGGACAAGGAAATAAAAGTCAGGAACATCTCAGGTTAGTCTGAGATCCTTCTCCAATCTGACCGAATGATGGGTTTTGTCTTCAAGATACCTGGGGAGCTAAGCCATAGAATTCTCCATTCTACAGTTGCTGGAAAAAGGCTGGTCGCCTCCATTGGCTGCATCACGCAAACATTTTTTTGCCTTGGCAAACTTGTGCAAGAAACTAGAGAAGAGCTTGAACCCACTACTCTCCATGCAGCAGAATGACTCTGCTTAAAACCAACTCTTACCAAATACAACTCCATAAAAAAGGAATAAAATACTGATACAAGCAACATAGGCGAATCTCAAACACATTAGGTTGAGCAAAAGAAGACACAAAGGAGTCATACTGTGTAATTCCATGTATGTGAAATTTGAGGACAGGCTAAGCTAAACTGTGACTTAGAGAAAAGCTGAGCAGTAGCTGGGGAAAGTATTGGCCAGGAGGGGACAGTGGCATTCAGTCCAGCTTGGTACCTTGACAGGGGCTTGTATCACGTAGATACACATGTTTGTTAACACCTCACTGAATTATACAGTCAACATCTGTATACTTTTACTATGTGGTATTTTTATCTCAAGGGAAGAAAAAGAACTATAAACAAATATAGGATGCTAGCTAAGGATGCACGTGCTGAAGTCTGCCACCTAAAAAATAAATAAATAAGATGAATTTGAAAGGTGGATGAATGGATATGAATATTGACAGAGCTGTATCCCCAGGATCAGCACAGAAGCATACAACAAACATCAGTATGAGCAGTATTGATATATATGTGATGAGAATAAATATGTATCAGAGGACTGTTTCCCTGTCCTCATGGAGCTCACAGGAAACAGACACAGACCACAAATGCAAGAGTGATCCCTGAGATCACAGGGAAGGGAGAGGGAGAAAGAAAAAAAAAAAAAGGACGGCAGAGTAGCCCCCCCCACGGGGAATCTGAGATTTCAAAGACAAGGAGGCATCTGACAAATGATATGGGGACAAGAGGGGCACTCTTGGCTAAGCAAACAGCATGAAGAAAGCCCTAGAAGTATGAATCAGCAGAGTGTTGGCAGTTCAAATAACAGCTGTGCAGAGGTTGAGTAGAAGCGGGAAAAATATGACCTCCATCGTGCAGGCACTGAAGGCTTGAATATCTTAACCAGGAGCAGTGAACTAAACAGATTTGGAGTCTGGAGAGATTACTTAGCTTCCAGGTAGAGAACAGACTGAAGATGGGCAACATCCTCATCACAAGCAGGCTGTTAGGACAGTTCTGTTGGCACCAGATGAAGCAGCAAGCCACTAGAGAACAGGGCAGGCTAGACAGCGAGGTAAGAGACACTCAACAGGATGTGGTGGCTTATGAGAACTGGTTGGACAAAGTGGAAAGAACTGATTCTGACCCCTTAGTGTTCCCATCCTGACTAACTCCTGAGATTGACTGTGATGCCATTTAGGAGTATAAAGCGTTGGGGGGCAGGGGAGAGGAGAGGAGGCTGAAGCTCTGGGGGGATATCCTGGTAGAGATGCCAAGCAGGCATTTGGGTCTTTAGGTCTGGAGACTGGAAGCAGAACATGGAGACAGGGTGGGGAACAATCAACTCAGAAGACTGATGTGACCCAGTAAGAGGAGTGTCCTCAAGTAAAAAGAGCTGAGCCAGGACAAAAAGCAGTTCAGGGATCAGGAGGAGAATGACCAAGAATGGCTGGGGCATGGAAAAAGGAAGGATGTGGGAGCTCTGCAGGCCAAAATCCAAGAGCTTGGGAGTAGAGAAATTCCTTAGCAGTGCGGACACTAGCGGATAGCAAGCATGGCAGGCAGATAAACCCAGCGTGCAGTTGTAGAAGGCTTTTATCCTGGCTTTTAACCAGGATACATAATGAGAATAGAGGCAGGCCTGGGCTCACAGCAGACATCTGGAGCCAGTGGCCAAAAGACGGACTGGGTAAGAGTCAACCTCAGCTGCACAGAAATGGACATGTCTGCATGGCCGTGATCTCCCTTCCTGCCTCACTGATTCATGGATCTCTGGCCTTTATCTCAGTACCCTGTATCTTAGAGCCTATAAAATAGGATAACAAGAAAAACATTTATTAAGCATTTACCATGTGCTAAACTAGGGCTCATTTAAACCTCAAAATAGTTTCACCTGGCTGGTTCAACTATCATTTCTATTTTTCAGAAGAGAAAGCTAAGGCACAGCGAGGTTAGATCACTGGCATAAAGGCACACACACAGCAAAAGAATGGAGATGTTAAGATTCAAACCCCAAATCTAAATTCTGAACCTTACCCCTGTACCATTAACCCACACAGGACACTTTCAGAGGGCTGACATTACGTCTTGGGAAAGTTGAACAATAATGAGATAATCTACATTGTGCAGGAATTGGCTGTGAAAACGCATGTGGAAAAAATGCACATGGTAGGTTAAATTATGATCCTCTAAAGACCACTTTGGAAGGAGGAGTGGCATCCACTTCTAGAATAGCTTGCCTCCGGAAACCCTATGAACCTGGAGAGAGGATGAAAGGTACCCAAGCTTGGAGGACTCTCCTTCATAGGGTCACTATGAGTCGCCTGTGACTCGATGGCACTTAACAACAACAACAAAGACCACTACATCCTAAATCCCTGGAATCTATGAATATCAGATGAGACCAGACATATCAAGTGGGACTTTGTGATTAAGGATACTGAGATAAGGAAATTAGCCTTAATTAGCCAGGTGGGCCCAATATAATCAATCACAAGGTGCTTATAAAGAGAGCAAGAGGGTAGAAGAAAGAGAAGGCAGTAATAATAATAAAGACAGAGAGATAGAGACACACACAAATCAATGATTGCAAAACCACCTACCAAATGATGACATGAAGGAAGGGAAGCACAGGGGTTGTGGGGGCCCTGGAAAGGAGAAAGTGACTTGAGCCTGGAGTCAGGGAAGACTTCCTGGCAAAAGCAGCAATTAAACTGAAGACTGGTATAATTCAGTCAAAAGTATGATGCTGGGGTGCAAGGTGGAGGAACAGCTGGGCACAGACAGGCATAGTGCCATTGGCTCTCCAAGAACAGGGACTGGGCTTTCACATCAGTCTCTATGCTGTGTAGGCAAGATGACATCAACAAGAGAGTTGAGTGTTTCCAGGCTCAAAAGTCCTTGGTTCTGCCATCCTGGCCTCTATGTTCTCATGCGTGAAATGGGAATCACAGGCCTAGCTTGTGCCCTCAGCTGTGTCCAGGGGAAAGCTGAGAAGAGAGGTCCTGGGATCCCCAGGGAAGGCGCACTGAAGGTCAGAGGTCAACAGTAAAGGGGAACAGAGCAAGGCTGGGAGAGCACTGGGGAGGACAGTCCTGGCTCAGGCCCCTACTCTGCATCTGACGCATAGTGTGACTACAAGAAGGTCCTCTCAGAATCTCAGTGACCCCATCTGAGAAATGGAGCATGGGACAAAACTGTCACCAAAGACCCTCCCCAGCCCTTTTGGGGAAACAACATGACACAAAATTATAAAAGGGTCTTTATTTGTAAAAAGTCAAAGGGGCCCCTGCAGTGGCAGGATAGGCAGGCAGGCTTCTCAGGGGTCAGGGGCATTTGGGCAGATGCGCTTGAGTGGGGGGGCGCCCTCCGAGTCCTCTGTGTCACCCTGGGCTGCCTCGGGGCCAGGTGGCACTGGCTCAAAGACGGGGTAAGCTTCAGGGGCCTGGAGAGGAAGGGTGGACAGGCATGAGCTCCACCCGAACCCAGGAGTCCAGCCTCCTAGCCTCTGCCTTCTCCAAAGCCTCCACTTCACTCCCCTCCTGGATCCTGGAGTCTAGCCCAGGGCCAGGTACCCAAGCTGCAGCTTAAGTAGGCTCAATAAAAAAACAACAGCATATTCTGGAGAAAGAATGTGCTATTTGGGGAAAATGCATCAACATAATCTGTGTGAGAAAAATCAGAACTTTGTGGGGGACTTTCTTAAGCTCAAGACATTGGTGAAATTGCTAAAGTACCCTTTTTTTTTAAAGGCCCAAGAATCCAGCCTCAAAGCCTTGAGCTATGTTTGTATTCCCCTTCTGCATCCAAAGCTTCCACCTCTTCAAAGACCTGAGAGCCCAGCTTTCTCACCTCAGCTTCCAGCAGTTCCGGGACAGGCTCCTCCTTGGTCAGCATCGGGGGTTCATCGGTGCCTCCTGCTGTTACACCCCCAGGATCTGCAAGGGAAAGTCAACAGACATTCCCTGAGCAGACAGCCACTCTGTGGTGGTAACACAGACCAGTTGGAGAAACACCAGTGAGCACCCATCACATCAGAGGACTTGGGAGAACGAGCCAGACATCCCAAGCTTGGCCAGGATCTATGAGGCAGCGTAGAAGATGGAATGTTTATGTGGGCTCTTGGGTGAATAGGACTTTGTTGGACAAACAGAAGTGTAGCACATTTTGGGCAGAGGGAATTCATGCTTAGAGAGCAGAGAACTGGCTGGGTTTATATCTTAACCTTGGTCAAACTGCCTGATTTTTTAAGTCTCAATTTCTTCATCTGTAAAATGGGGATAACATTCAATTCGACTCATTGCTGTCAAGTTGGAACTGACTCATCACATGGGAAGAGACTGTCCATCTTTCTCTTACAGAGAGCTGGCACTTTTTTTTTATTTTTCTTTCTTTTTTAACGCTTCACGAATTTGCGTGTCATCCTTGCGCAGGGGCCATGCTAATCTTCTCTGTATCGTTCCAATTTTAGTATACGTGCTGCCGAAGCGAGCACAGAGCTGGCACATTTGAACCACTTGCCTTTGGGTTGGCAGTGCAACTCCTTACCCACTAGACCACCAGAGCTCCTAGAATAACAACAGTAGTTTCCATAGGAGAGGGTTGCGAGGATTAAATGAGATAATACAGGTAAAATCTTTAGTGTAATACGTGCTCAGTGAGTATTTGTTAATCATTTTTAGATTAGAACATAGGCCCATGTACCTGGAGAAAAGACATCAGTCAGTTCAAATAGGGTCTCGAATGCCAGCCTGAGGAATCACAGGCCATGGAGAGCCATGACAAGTTTTGAAACAGGGAAATGACCCTGGAAACCTGTTGCTCTGGCAGTTGTGTGGAAGCAACTGGAAGTGGGAAAGTGGGGAGGAGATTGGAGCTGAGTGAGAATGAATGATGGGAAGGCCAGGGGGAGGCCTCTGAAAACCTACCCGCTTGAGGGTCAGCTATGAGTCGGTTCCTACTCAAAAGCACATAAACAGCTCCTATAGGGTTGTTATGAGGATTATAAAAGATAATGCAATGTACATAAATCGTCCAAAATAGGACTTGGCATATGGTAAAAATTTAATAGGTTTTCGTTGTTATCACACTACCTTTGTTAATCACCTCTATTATTACTAAGCAACTGTTTGCTGAGCACCAACTATGTGTCACATAGTGTTCCGAGGCTGATGTAATGAACAACATCCTTATGAACCCAAGCTTCATGAAGCCGATATGAGGTGGAAGTAGGAAGGGAAAGGCATTAACTAATAAAGAGTTAAATTTTCATGAAACTTTAGGTGGTAATTTTATTCTAACAGACTCAGAGAAAGCAAAAGAAAGAGGCAGATGGTAGCGAGAGGTAGAGCAGTAACTTTCCAGAAGTCTGGGAAGGCTTTCCTGAGGAAGGAACAAAAGGAGGAACAGATACGCATGGAAGCTGGTGGGACCAGCTTTGTAGAGGACAGGACTCAACATTGGGAAGGGCTCCTGGGAAACACCTAGTCCTACCTCTCTCTTGTCCCAGCTGTGGGGGCTGAGCCTCTTCTGGGACCCCATCTGGGGGACCTGCAGGCGATTCAGGGCGGCTGGGCTGGGGGGTACCCCCAGGACTGGGCTCGGTGCCCTTTTGCAGGGACCCTTCCGAATGGAAACTTTGGTTGCTGTTCTCATCTGTAGAAGCAAGAAAGCCAGAAGGGTTGGGCTTGAGGCCTCCACGCCCTTACCCCACTCTCCAGTCCCCCAAATCTCAGGATCCCCACATACCATTGAGATCAAGCAGGATGAGAGGCGCACCACCTCGTGGACTGGTGCCCCTGCCCCTCCGCTCGCGGCCTCGGGCTCTCTCTGCATTGCCACCAGCCCGCCTTCGGTCCTGGGGGTTACAGGGGTGAGGATCAGAGCCCCAAGAGCCTTTCTGGTTACCTCTTGCAATCCCCCCACTGTACGTATAAGACAACTGAGGCACAGAGAAGCAAAAAGCCCTGTCTGAGGTAACAGAGGTTGTACGCACTGAGTTGGGTTCAGAATTCTGGGATCTGGAGAAAGAACAAAGGAGGGGGCTGGAATGCCTAATAATTGTTGGCATGTGTCTGGGCTGCAGCCTTTGAGGTCTGGAGGAGGGCGAGAGGTGGAGGCCAGGGCGGGGAGGGGGTGGCCTGAGGTTGGGAGGCGGGGTTCGCTCACCTCCTCCTGTGGGTCTACCACCGGCACCCACTTGAAGATACGAAGGGAAGTGTCGCCCACGGTCACCCAGCGCTTCTCCCTGTGGGAGGATGGAGGGTCGACCAGTTAGCAAAGCCTGGAGGAAGAACTGACCCAAGGTGGATGCGTCTGGGAGGTAGGAGAGGCACACGAGGGAAGAAGCAGTTTTACTAAAGAGACACAGGAAGAGAAAGAGAACCCCCTAGACTCCAAGAAATAGGTGGGAGTCCATCTAAGCATACAGCATGGCTTCAGGCCATACAACCCACTGCCCCATTGATTCCAATGCATAGCAACTCTGGAAAGACAGAGCAGAGCTGCCCCGTAGGGTTTCTGAGGCTGTAAATCTTCACAGAAACAAGACTGCCACATTTTTCTCCCGCCTTCAGGTCGGATCTCTGCAAAACCCGGGGCATTCATGGGGGCACAGTTCTGAGCCTGAAGGGAAGGAAGATCCTGGGGCGCACTTGGGAGGAGGGTTCACAACTTTAGGGGGAGGGGCAGATAATGGGATCTCACGAGGGAGGGCACACGGCGGGAGTCCACCAAGGTAAGGGGGCCAGAATCCTGTCAATCCGGGGCTCAGCTGAGGCGCACGCCTAACATCTGGGGGCCACAGCTGGCAAGGGAAGGGTAGGCGCATTTGGGGGCAGTGGCCCCACCATGTCCCGTCCCCGCCCCTGCCGCAGCACTCACCATCTCCGGACCTTCTCGATGGTCGCCATCACCTTCTTGATGTCATCCTTAGCCCGGCTCCGGGTCTCGGCCCGCACGGTCCGGCCGGCCATGCTGGCGGGGTTGGGGCCGAGGCCGGACCCGTGGCGGGGCCGCCTCCGGTCTGGCGGGCTTCGGCTCGGCGCCAGGCGGGGGCTCCGCTCTCCCGATCAGCCGTCCTCCGGGGGCTGGCCGCGCCCTCCCTCGCTCCCTAACGCCGCCGCGAGTCCCCGCCCCGCTTCCTGCCTCCGCGCCCCGCCCCGGCCCTTCCCCGGAGCCGTAGGGCGGCGTGGCCGAGCCCAACCGAGGTCTGGCAGCCCGGCCGGCCCCGCCCCGCCCCGGGCCCGCCCCCTCGGGGTGTCCGGACGCGCAGCGCCCCCTGTCCACCGCCGAGGGGAAGACTTCGGAGAGGCGTACGGCCGAGGCGTACGGCCGATGCGCGCGGCCGCCAGGGACCACGTGCACACCGGGGATGAGCGCTGTGCAGACCGTGTCGGGTGTGCGTCCCCAGTGCGGGGCCGTCCCTAAAATACTGGATCGTGGAGTGTGTGTATTTATGCACACACACACACACACACACACACACACACACACACACACACAGAGTCTCATTCTACTCTGCCCTCCTCATCCATCCATTTATCCATTCATTCAACAGTCTCCGTGTCAGGCACTGCCAATATGAGTGGGTCTCCACCCACGGAATGACTAAAATGAAAATGACGATGATGCCAAATACAAGCAAGGCGGCAGAGAAATTGAAACTCTCTGGCCATTTTCTAGCGATGTGGAACATATGAGGACCTTATCCAGCAGTTATGATCATAAATCATCAACATCCAACACAATGCACAGATGTGAGCACCTAGAAACGTGTACTAGAACATTTGTGTTGTAGTTGTGTGCCATTAAGTCGGACCGATTTCTATCTGACCTTCAAGGAGGATTTTCAGAGACAGTAAATTCCACAGGAGATTGACTATCTTTCTCCTTCCCTTGAGCTGCTTCGAATAGCATGCCTTTGGGTTGGCAGCACAACTCCTTACCACTAACTACAAGAGCTCCCCAGCGCTGTCATTCATGACAGCCCTAAGCTGGAAGCAACCCAAATGCTTATCAACAAGAGATGGAAAATGAAATCTAGCCAATTTACACCATGAATACAACAGTGAGAAGGGCAGAACCCTGCTACACCCAACCACAAGGACAAGTTTCATGATCAAAATCTTGAATGGAAGGAAGCCAGACCCAAGGTTCCACTTATATGAAGTTTAAAAGAAAAACAAAATGAATGTATGATGTGAGAAGACAGGATTGTGATCCCCTTAGGGGAATACTGACTGAGAGTGACTGGAACGTGTGGCACCAAATTGATCCTGTTATATTACTTGATATGTTGCTGGTTCCCATAACATGATATAGCATGATTACTCTGTGGAAAGTCACCAAGCTATATGTCTTGTATGACATGTTGCTTGGTAGACTTACTTTTCTGTGTGTACAGTCTACTTCAATAAAAAGTTTTAAAAAGATTGTATTTTTCTTTATCTTATTGGAGGCTGTGCTAGTATGCAGAGACACACCCACACACCAGCATGACACACACACAAAACCACTGCCCTCAGGTCAATTCCAATTAATACCCCCCTCCTTCCATAGCACTAGGCCATCAAAGCTCCTCAGTCTCGATTGAACAATGTCTACATTTGGGTTGTACTATGTATGTCTGTTTCAGAGGTGTGTCTGTGCTGTTATGTGACGATGTTCTGAGAAGTAAAGGTATAGCCACGCGGTTATAAGGGCATTTCTGGAGATCAGTGAGGCAGACTCTCAACTTTCTTACATCCAGCTATTCTGCCTTGAACAAGTCACTAACTTCTCTGTACTTCTATTTCCTTATCTGTACAATGGAGATGATATTGCCTATATTTTGGAGGAGCTCTGCTCTCTTTAAGGAGTTGCACTGCTAACACAGTTCTATGTCTTTCTAGCAGTTCAAATCCACAACTGCTACTTGGGAGAAAGATGGACATTCAGAAACACAATGAAGGGTCAGTTATGAGCTGATTCTGACTTGATGGCAATGAGTTTTCTAGTCTACCTTGTTAGGTTGTAATAAGCATTAAATTACTATATAAATAAATGTATAGCTCTTAGAATAGAGAGCTGTTAGGGCTGGAGCTGCTCTCCCTCTCTTTCCCCAGAACAGGCACAGAAATGATCAAAGCAGCAGCTATAACTCTGTTTAATCTCTATTAAGGCTGCAAAACTATTTCACTTCCCTTGCCCAGGAATAACTATCTATAACCCCCAACCTGCTCCTTTATCTTGTTGCAAGCTCCTGCACACCTCCTCACTCCCCAATTTCCTTGTAAGACAATATGAAACTCCACTCTAAGTTGCTGCTGGTCTCTACCTTAGAGTCAGCCTGGCAGTTTCTCCTCAATAAACTGTCTTGGCCTGAAGTGGATTCTTTCCTTCCTTGGCAATCTTACAAGAGGCCTGAACATAATTTGCCTCAATAAATATTAGCTTTGAATAGAGTCCGGTCTCAATTTAACCCTCTTTCAGTTCATCCCTCATTTCTTTATTCTGGCAGTTATCTGTGCATGTCAGTTTCCTCACAGACACAGTCATTTTTGCTTTGGTGGCGTAGTGGGTAAGAAGTTGTGCTGCCAACCCGCGCGCAGGTTTCAAATCCTGCTTCTTGGTATATAGATAGACAGTCTCCTCCCACAGGATTTATAGCCTCTGCAAACCCACTAGAGGATGATCAGCTATGATTCTTTCAACTCAATGGCACATAAGAACAACAACAAAGATGGTCTTTCCCTTGAGACTGTGAGCTCCTCAGGGGGTGTATAGATCCCCAGCTCTACACATCTCTGTGTCCTAGGACTCAGAGCAAAACAGGTGCTCTGGAACCCTCTGGGGATAAGTGTGAGCAGATGCCTGTTTCTATGTGCACAGCCAAGTTAGTGAGGTCTATTTATGTGTGGATGTGATGTCTTTCACTGAAGATCGTTCTTATGTGAAAATGAGTGCATTCAGTAAATGTGTGTGTCTATGTGTTTGCTGCCATTGGCTCTAGTTAATATCAGTGGGACAAGGAGGTTGTGCTGACCAAGTGGAAAACGTCTCAGATACAGGCTTATGTCTCGGTAAGTGCAGCCACAAGCCCCAGACATCCCATCTCAAGAGGAAATGCCTGAGCATCTTGTTAGATCCTGTCCTCTTAACCCCCAGACTTTTCTTCTTTCCTAATCCCCATCACCAGACCCTGAACCAAGTCAGTGCCTGAACCTCTTCATCTTGGAAGGACTCAGGGCTGCTTCTCATGGATCAACACCCTCAGATCCAGACCCAAACTCAAACACACTGAGATAATAAGCTGCCTCCCCATTTCAAGTCCTTTGCTGGGTTAGGCCTCCCAGGCTGAGAGCTTAGCTCAGAGCCAAAGAATCTCTTCTGGGAGGGAGAGGGAGGCAGCGGGTGTTTGGGGTCTGGGCCCTGATTGGCTGCTCCCGAGTCACGCCCCTGCCCCATGCCCCTTCTCCTCCCTCTGAAGGGGGGCGTGGAGGGAACCGGGATCACCCCAGGGCCAGCATGAGCCGGAGGGAGGGAAATCTGGGTAAGGGGCTTGAAGGGGCGGATGCTGGGTCACGGAGGGGAGCAGCAGTCAGAAAAGTCTGGGAGGTAGGCTCAGGGTCCCTGCGACCCCAGGTTCTGGGAGGGCGGAGGAGGGGCCCGTGCACAGGAGCTTACCCTGGTGTCAGGTAACGAGCCGGGTGAGTTTTGGGAAGGGAACCAGCGCTAGAGTTCCGAAGAGACAGGGGCTGAACTTTCAGGGACTTGAGCTCAGAGACCAGACAAGCGGTTCGAGACCACCTTGGGGAAGGACTAGAGTCGCGGCCGGAGTCTGGACGCCTGAGTCCACTCAGTCTCGGGTTAAAAAAAAGAAAAAAATTTAAAAAAAAAAAATCAAGAGCCTCAGCAAATAATTAGAGCTTAGGGCCAGAAGAAAGAGTAGAGTTGAAGAAGAAAGTCTGTGGGCCCCAGGAGAAAGATAGGGAAAAGAGAAGATGAAAGTCGAGGCAACTGCGGACCGGTACATGCAGTGGGAAAATCGGGGGGGGCGGAGTGCCAGCGGAGGTGCCGGTCGTTCGCGGACTACATCTCCCAGCATGCATGTAGTTATGCGCTGTGCATCTTGGGAAATGTAGTCCTTTTATTGGCGAGCCACCCTATAGCTAGTGTCCCTGAGGACAAGTCACGGATTCCCTGATGCCACCCAAGGCCCATCTCAGTACCGTGCATTAAAAAGGCATTTAAAAGTAAGTGGGACTTGGAAAATTAAGGGTTTGTTCCTTATAGGTCCATTTCCACTGGAAACGCTGTGCTTCAAAGATGTAAAATCTCACCCGTGCTTACTAAAGTACAGAATATATCAGTCTTGTCCTCTCAGGGGTTCCAGACGGAGACAGATATACCTAAATAATTATAATCTACTATTAAAAGAGAAACCTTGGATGATTGAGCACGTGTTGAAAGGAGAAGTTAGTGTGAGAGACCGGTGAATCTGGAGACTACATTGAGGGGACAGTATTTTTTTATTTGGCCTTAATATGATTTCACAAACAATTTGGACACAGGAAACATATTTCCAGTACGGCAACTGCTTCGAAAGGGTCTAGGGCCTCACCTGACATGGAGCAGACTCTGATTGGCTTAAATGAGAAAATTCAGAGCAGGACTGTTGGGTCCAGGAAGGAAGGACTAGCTTCAAAGAGGTCAGGGAGACAGATTTGGGCTAACTTTATTCTTCCCCCCTTTCCCACCAGAAGACCCCCAGGTTGACTCTTCAATTTCACTCCTTCCTCACCTGGAGGCCAAGATACGTCAGACTCACAGTCTTGCTCACCTCCTCACCAAATATGCTGAGCAGCTGTTCCAGGAATATGTGAGTGGGGCTGAAGATGGAGGATGTTTGGGGACCCTGGAACCTTGGGAATTATGGGAAAGCAGAGATCACAGGAGTCTCAGCCCACCCATATTCTCAACTTCCTTTCCCAGTGACCATGTGTGGAGTCTAAGAAGGGCAATAATTTGTCCCTGGCCAAACAACAAATTAGAGGAGGTTCTTATCTGTGTTCTGAATATCCTCCTGTCTTCTTCACCTTGAAATCTTCATCCTCAGAGCTCTAAGCCAAAGACTACCTGAAAGTGTGAAGAGATTATGGTTTGAGGGTGAGAAAGAGCAGAGCTTTAAACTGGTTCTTCCCACTTCAGTCATACCAACAAAGTGAAACTGGAACGGATCCACATTTGCAAAATATAAGCAAAACAGAAGGAGAACTGGAATAGGAAAAACTTATACATAGATTAAAATTTGAAAACTTAATCTCTCTTCTAAAAGCAAGAATGACATTTGCGTTGCATAGGAAACAAATCTCTTGATCAACAGAGTTGGGAACAATAATGCCCTGCTCAATGACAATCACCAGCCCACAACGTGTTGAAAATATGTTGCTCTCCAACATCCCAGCAATAATCCAGTCTTATGCATGGAGACCTGAAGGACTCATTATGCCTTTCTGAGTCTCTCAATGCAGGGCTTTGATCTGTAATTTCCCCCATTTCTATTACCCCACTTCACCCAAATTTTAAAAATGCAGGTCTATTCCAATTTCATTTGTCAGTTATGACTAAACCAGTTCAAAGCACTGAGGAGAATAAAAAGCAATTCTGATCTCATTGCCTCACCTCTTTGGCCTTCTTAGCTGTAAAAAAAGAGATGATTGAACAAAATCAGCTGTGAACTCTTAGCTGACATATTCAGAGGGGCTAATAATGGTTTCAGTTAGGGGCAAAAATTTCATCTCAAGACATAGGAATCTGCCAATATCTTTGGTTGGGCAAAAGGCTTTGCCCAATGAGAAAAGATTACTCACTGAACGACTGTTACTTGCCAGGTGCCCTAGGGTAGGGAGGATAGGAGAGAGGAGTGTCCCAGCACTGTCATGTCAAAGTCCCTTAATGTATTAGAAGATAAGGTTTGGAATCAGACCAAGACCTACCAACTGGCTGACCATTACATTGGTTATGGTAACAACATTAAAATAACACTGCAATAGTTTTGAGATAAAAGCGAATCCTGCCAGTTTTAGCGTATATTCCAGCTCTGCCACTTACTAGATGGATGACCAAGTCACTGTACCTCTTCTGCCCAGTTTCCTTCATTTATAGAGTCATTGCCATCCCACTAATTTTGAGGAAATTTTGAAATAATATGTGTAAAGCAACAATGCGCAATGCCTGAGCTGGAGCCAAGAGGTAAGGAGAGGATAAGTGTTAATAGCTACAGATCCTTTTACCTTTATCTTTCATTTGATCATTCATATGAGTCATTAATATGAATGAATAACTGAGAGTTAATAATGTGAATGAACTCATGTCAAGCTTATGCACGGAATCTCTGAGGTAAAGTAGAAGAGTGAAATATACTTTATCTCTGCACCATCAGATGGTTCTCCAGAGACCCCCATTAAGAAGGCAGGACAGGTAACTATCCCCTCTTTACAGTGTCCCATTTCACCGATAAGACTGAGGCTTAGAGAAGGGAAATAAGTAGTTTTTGCCGCAAGCTGCACAGTAACTGAGTTGAACCCTGGCCTGTAGGGTAACATTACTGAAAGACTAATATTTATTAACCAGAACCCATCTTAAATGCGTACATCCCTAGGTGGGCTCAAACCACCAACCTTTTCCTCTGACAGCCAAACTCACTAACCAATTACACCACGTGTCACATTGCCCTCATCCATTGTAGAGACAAGGAAACGCACTGGTGTAAAGCTTACATTGGGATTTTGCTGCTTTGTATTCTCTCTTGTGAGATGAGGGAACTGTGACCCCGGGAAGGGTGGAGGGCCAACGAGGAGGAGCGCCCCCAGGCTGGGCACCCCGCTGACCCGCCGGCCCTGTCTTCCCAGGTGCAGCACCAGGGAGACCCCTTCGGGCTGCCGGGCTTCTCGCCGCCGCGCCTGCCGGTGGCCGGTCTGAGCGCCCCGGCGCCGAGCCACGCGGGGCTGCCCGCGCCCGAGCGGCTACGCCTGGACGCT